CGGAAGACTCTAAATGCCTCGTCGGGCTTGTGGCAGAGCTTGTGCACGGAAGTGAAATCTTTGGGAGCTGTAGTGTATTGTTATGCTGTTGACACTCTTTATACCGGCCTTAGTGTTGTCATAGCTTGGAGCTACTTTGGAAGACGTCAAAGTTTCGGTAGAAAGCTAGCCGCAGCTAGCCGTAGTTGGACTCCGGCGCTTTAGGCGGGGTGCAAAATTTTGCACGTTTGGTAGCTACACGTGTTTTCCACGTGTTTTCCTGTCCGGTATTTTACACGTCATATTTGTTTTTACTCGGTGAGCTCCCTGATTCGTTTGAGCCCAATATTGACTTGAGTGACTCCGGCAGGCGCTTGTGTTTGAGTGAAAATTGGCACATTCTTAGGGCTGCGCAGCTGCTTGTGTTGTGTTTAGCAAAGTCAACTGTGGACGGCCAGCGCCGGTGATCAACACATGCCCATTTTAGGGTTTAGCTTGCGCAGGAACAGTGTTGTGCGCAGCGAGATAAATTATGGAACCCACAGAATTTTACGACATGGTGATTTGCTACACTTTGCATTCGCTTGCAGCGATTGTGCTGGTGTTTACTACTTTCTGTTGTGCGTGCGTTTCGATTGGGGTTTGGAATTTTCCACCCAGCCCGTGCATTCTTGCGAATGTGCGTGTCACTGCAGCCCATTATTTTTGCGTGCTGTGTTGGTTTACCTTAATTCATTATGAGAAGGTGATTTGCTACACTCAGCATTCGCGCTCTTGGAATCGTATGCTGATGTGCTTACATTCCTTTTTGTATCTCTGGTCAGGGGTGGCTGCGGCCCACGCATAGCAGTGATGGGTGTGTGCTTTTCACAGTGTAGGCATGAGGGCGCCGGTTGCAATGCATGCCGGTAGCAGTGAACTTGTCTTGAACTTGTTGCTTTCATTGTCATTTCCTGTCGCTGTGGCTCCCAGCCAGGCACAAAGGCTATCAGGTTTTTTCAAGTTTGTGAGGAGTCTTTGATGAGTGTTGCCAGCATGGGCTTGTTGACGCTTTCATCGGGCGAGACCGAGGGCAAGCCCTCCGCGTCCACGGACAAAGCAGCGAGTGCTGCCTGGGCGGTTTGGGCCCATCTGGAAATTGGTCTGGGATGCACCAGGAAAAGAGTGGTTCGAAAGCGGTTGGAATCATCGAGTGGCTAGAAGGTCTGTGGGGCTCGAAAACGAGGCGGCGGCTCGAAACGGCTCGAAGCGTTTTGCTGCTCCCAGGCCCATCTTCGAGAAGGGTGCGGAGTTCAATTTTTGGGCCCCATAAGTCCTTAGTGATTAGGTGTGGGCCCCAGAATCACCAGAACTCTTGAATGCCTGGCGCCGTGCCCCCGTCAGATGTGGACTCTGATCCCAAATCCAGTGCCCAATCCGTATAAACCTTAAATCTCAGCCCGCCAACCCACTAGTCAGACGGAAGCCTTAAAACCCGATACCCTAAACACGAGGTTCAAGTTTGGCTGAACTGTTGTTCAATGTTGGATCGACGCTGTGTGAAGGGCCGATGCTGTGTGTGATGGCTGGCCTGGCTATCCCATCTCTGTAATCATCGCAGGAGTGTTAGCAGTTAGCGTGCTGATGAAGCGAGTGCTGCGTGTCTTGCAGCCAAACTGGGATGTCAGACCTCCTGCCTCCTGCTTGAGTACATGTAGACATGTGTTCATGTAGAGTTCGAGAGAGACTGCTTTGCGGCTAGAATGAAATGTAGAACGCAGAGGTTCGTCAGTACGTGGCTTTACACGGCTCCAGTTCCAACTGGGAGGCTTTGCGGGAAAGCTTGACGTACTACGAGCTTCTTTGGTGCCACGAGAGCTTTGAGAGACGTTATTTGTGTCTAGGTGTCTGCGACGGAAGATCACGGAAGGTCGAGATGTGCACTACGAACGCATGCTGGTGGGCACAGAGTGTTTTGTGCAGAATGCTTTGGGAATGGTCCGACGAAGGAGTTGCGAGCTGTGCCAAGGGGTTAATTTGCGAGTTCTGCGCAGCCGTCTTGAACAAACCCTCATGTCGTGCAAACCGAAAGTATCGAAATATGTCTGACCTACACAACGAGGTGCTGCGGTAACCAGTGCGGTGACAGCGAATTCTTGCTCTTACATTATAACACAGGAAGGTGATTCGATACACCTGATGTGGTTGCTGGGTCCGGTGCAATGGCATCAGTTTCGCGGACATGAAAGGTGCAGCAAGTCTATATGTTCCGTGCCATGTCACGCCAAGAGCTTTCCCTACGTGGCTGCCAGGCATTGAGGAGAGCGTGGCGGAGTTGCAGCGCTTACAGGGGGAGTTTGCGTCATGCTTGCAGGCCACCCAAAAAAGACAGGGGTTCATCACCATAGCATCGGACAGCTCTTCTGTCGAGTCCAGCCCCTCGATTCTCGAGGCCTTGAACGGCACCTATGAGGGCATGCAGGCTGCTCTCCGAAGCATGCCCCAGGAGCAGCTAGCACAGGTGCGTGTGCTCTGCCATGTTTTTTCTTGTGATTCCACGAGCACTGCGCGTTTGGCTTCAGGATCAATTGAAGGTGCAGCGGCATCCGCAAGCGCAGGCTTCATCGGTTTGTGCTGTGCTGTTTGTGCATTCATTTTGCTGTTCTCTGCATGCCTGGGCGAGGTCTCGCCGAAGCGGGAGCATGCAGCTTGATGGGAAAGTCTTCCATAGCAGGATGAACTTCTGAGGGCTACTTGTGCTTCCCTATTTTGCCCACCAGAGGACAGGGTCTAGGCCGCTTCAGGTAGTTGCTTGTGTCAGTAGTAAAAACACAAAGTGACCCTTGGGCGGAAGCCCGACGCCCGCCATTGAGCTCATGTGAATTTGTGTTGTAGTATATCCCGCATGACAAACTAAGCTATACACACACATAGATAGATATATATATATATATATACACACACACACATACACATATAGTTTTTGATATACAAGATATAAGATTCTAAGATAACATGTACATTATCTGAGGCCAAGGAGAAGTTCGAGCTCCTCGATGGGGTGCCCACCATGACAAAGGCTCCGAAGAGCCAGAACACGGCGCTCTCGAAGAAGAACTCTCAAGGGAACCTCGCCCTCGCGGCGCAGAAGAGCCTGGGCCTCGGGAGAATCAGGAAGCAAAGACACGGCGGTCGGGCTTCACGGGTTTAGGGTTTCAAGTTTTAAGTGTTTAGGGCTCCAAGTTTTGAGGGCTTCGGGGTTTCAAGTCATACGTGGCACATCAATTTCAGTCTTCTCTGTTGCTGAGGCGGCCTGCGGCTGCTGGACGCCCGGCCTGTCGGTACCCGGAGCTGCTGACGCAGCCCATTCCAAAGGGTTTAGGATTTACAAAGTACTAGAAGACTATTCTTTCTATATATTGGTCTGGGTTCTCAATGGGTGACAGAAAGGTGCAAACGATCTGCAATGGCACTCAGAGAACTTTTATGCAAGATCCGATTGAATTTTATGTGTCTTGAAACTGGGTGTTTGACTTCAGCCACACATCATGATCATCAGAATTCGCACCTCGCCTGCTACACATATTGTGTTCACGAGGCGTCGCATGCATGCTTGTCTTGAGTTCTCGCCGCTGCCAAACTTCCATTATGTGTAATGTGTCGTATTTTGTACAGTATAAGTTCCAGGCCCTCGAAATACCCGTCCTCCTCTCCGCCACAAGACGCGACGTGCGATCATTCTGGAAAATCACACGGGTGTGCATCAACCCCCAGAGGTGCGTCTGTTTTGTCGGTTTTCAGCAGAGTTTCGACGGCCGCTTGTTTGGTTTCCACGTCTTCCCCAGAAGCAAGCGTCATTGTCCTGTACAGTGTGGATATCCGATGTATGGCATTCTGGTTTTCAGTCCGTCATAAACCTGCTTCTTGACCAGCCAGCAGCGTCAAATCGAACCGCAGCAAAGGACGACTGGAGCGAGAGCTTCGTCGTATCTGAGGAGGATGCTATTGCCATGTACAACCACCTGTACAGCACTGGCCTAAGATCATGGGCAGGGGCTTTCTTGAGAGCAGACCGATCTGTCGCGCCCGGACAAGGCAGCAAGGAGAGCAAGAGGTTCAGCAGCGTACGCTACAACGGGCTGGAACTCTCGGACAGCTGCCAGAGCCTTACAGCGAGGAAGATCACGTCGAGCACTACGTTGATGTAGTTTGATTGTGAAGACATGTGGCGCTGTGGGCCTTCGTTTCGAGTCGTGAGGTACAGCGTGGGTAAACAGCCTGCACTACTTCTGGCAGATCTGTACATTGGTCTTGGTCGCCCTCGACACAGTGCTGATTCCGCTGACGCTGGCTTGGCCTCACATTTCAGAGGGGACCAGCCCTGCTGGCCTCTACTTCCAGGTGGAGCCCCAAGGAAAAGCACACCAAACACCCCGGACTCTCCGAAAGGGTCTTCTGTTTTGGAGCTGAGCTCTCCGCTCAGGTGGGCCCCTACCTGTGGAGTTTTGACATTTGCATGGCCTTCGTCCCGAGCATCATGCGGGGAGCCCGGCTGGCCTGCGGCGTGTTGGCGAAGTGGCATCGTGTTGTCTCTGCTGCTTTTTTGTGTGGTCCCGTAGCTCGGCTAAGGCAGAAATCCCTGTGGAGCGCTGTCACCTACCTCTGCTCGATGCTTACCGCTTACCGCGGAGTCAAGTCTGGCCTGCGACCTGCTTGTGTTGCTGAGGCACGAGATTTCCTCTGGATGTCCAGATCCCAGCGGTGTGCCTGAGCAGCTGATCGAGTGATGCCTGTCTTAGCGCTCCCTTCAGGCCGGGCTGGTGACCTTGGACATGGTCCTCCTGCTGGAGCTCATCGAGAAGAGGTTCCGCGTCTTCTCTTTGGTGCGCCTGATGCGGATCGTGAAGTTCCGCGGAGTCCGCGCCTCGCAGAGTGACCTTGTCCTCCCCTCAAACCCGCCTGAATCGGGTGATCGGATCTCACAGAGTTTTCGTCAGGTGATGGTCTCCTTGGAGAATCGCCTTGCCGCAAAGGCAGGTTCCGAAGCCATGCCTAAGTTTTTTGGTTGTCCAAGCGGTTTCAGCAAAGGGGAACATGAAGTTCGTCTTGTACCTGACGATCCTCCAATGCATCGCGCAAGTGCTCGCTGTCAACCACGTCCTTGCGTGCCTCCTCTTCTACGTGGGGGTCTTCGGCCAGGAGCAGGAGCTCACAAACTGGATCGATACCTATGAAGTTGGCCGTTACGAATTCAGCCTCCAGTATATGCCCCTCGAACTCACCAGACTCCCTTATTCACTTCAAACCAAAATTTCTGCCCTAAGGCAGTGCTTCAACTGGGCCATTGCGCAGCAACCCGGACCGCCTTGTCTCCATGTGAGTGATTCACTGTGTGATGTTTGTACATCATGCGCGCCCGCGCACGCAGGCGCGGGGGTGCGAGTGCAAGTGCACGTGTGACATGGTCACATTGAGGTACACTCCAGCTCCTTTCCCATACCAGCCTCAGAACGAGTTTGAGCAAGCCGTCGTTATTGTCTCACGGCGTGCAGTTTTTAAGCTTAGTTTTGGACTTCTAGGCTGTTGCACTGCAGATCGGAGCCGCTCTGCCGAAAGACGAGGTGGTCATTCTCACCTGCCTACCTTTGCTGGGAGCGCAGATAGGAAAGATTGGTGGTACCCTGAACTTGCTGAAAGAGAAAGCCAAGGAGGGGAGGGGAGCTAGCCGGAGGGAACCGACCCAGCAGCAGTTTACGGCTTGTGAGACTTCACTTCCAGGAGAGGGATACGGTGCGAAGGGCCTGGGTCCCGGACGAGCCAACGCTCCTTGCGGTGAGAGGAAAGTGCTCTAACCCCGCCCCCTGCCCCGGTGTTTCTCAAGGATCTTCAGCGCTGGCTCTTCAAGACCAACGCCCCGGAGAAGCTCACCCGGCCGCTCGTAAAGAGCGAAAGAGAGAGAGGGTTCAGGGTTCGGAGTTGTTGGATCTGCAGGGTGTTGGAGTTGGGCTAGGCCGCCAGCTTCTTCCGAGGAAGCTGCTGGACTCCCTGACGGATGTGCTGGAATCCAAAGATTCTCCGATGGATCTCAAGGAGCCCATCGCCCTGAAGTTCCTTCCGAGCACTCTTCTGGAAGAGCTCCACATCGTGAAGATCGGCCAGAAGTTGGAGAAGCACCAGTTCTTCCATCTGCTCATGGATGCGTCTTGGGCTCTTGCTTTCTCTCTGAATCTGGAGAGATTCTTTTCTGTCTTTGGTGGATTTTCAATCCAAGGAGCGTGTGGGCATCTCCGGCCGGCTGAGTGCAGCCTTCCGAACCGTGAACTGCGTGCAGGGCGAAGACATCTTCCATCAGGGAAAGCGGGCCGCAGGCGCCGCGGGCGCCGCGCCGCGGGGCCGCGCCGCGGGGGGGCCTTGCAACTGAAACTCTCTGCGATCTTGTCAAAGAGGCCTCTTCATCACCTTGGGGGGGCAGTTCCTCATGCATCTGCAGAAATCGGCCTTTCGCTTGCAGCTTATGTAGCCTTTCTGTTGCTATGCTTTGGCTCCGGAAGCACTGCTTTCGAATCCTGTAGCCGCAGGATGTGTCCTTGGGGCACCGCGCCAGCCACAACTCCCTGGATGGAGGCAGAGCGTAAAGTCCTTGAAGTCGCCGCTCCTTTTCCTTTCTCACCTTTCACTTCAGGGCTCGGCATCTTGCCGGACGAGTGGATCGCCGCCCGGGGCTCAAATTCCTGACCAAATCCACGCATGTCCTCGGAATCTTCGGCGTTGCCGGCCCAGGAGCTTTGCCTGTACTCCAATATGAGCCTTTGCAGATCTTTGCAGCATCAGCTCTGTTTCAGCTATTCAGCTATTCCTTGGTAGCGTCTCCGCCTCTCCTTCTCAGGACCCATTCGGCTTTCTTGACGGCGAAAACCTATTCGAAGGCCGCGGAGCCGTGAGGCCGTAAAGGCAAAGGCTGGTGCTGTGAGCGGTCTTGGAGGTGCTCTTGGCGCCGGCTGCTGAGTTTGTGAAGGCCCCTCTGTGCTCGTTAGCTCCCTGTCGGGCTCCGTGTCTCTTTTCTCCGTCTGCAGGCGATCCAGGAGTCGCCTGGATCGGTGGTCGCGGTGCATGAGTGCCCCGTGTGAGCTTCGCCCAGGGCTCTCTGCTGAGAGCGGAGCGGCAACCTGCGCCAGGTATGCGCTGAAGATGCTCAGCTCCTACTCGCCTCGAGCCTGCAAAATGCCAAGGGAAGCGAGCGGGGAATCTGATGGGCGATTGTGAGATCATGGGATATTCCTCCCCTCTCAGGCAGAATCGAGAAGCTGTCTCGACATGGGAGATGCTGCGACCGGAGCTCACCGAAGATAGCGTCCAACACACACAGTTGGCAGAGACTTGACTTACCTAGCAGACCTAGCACCACAGGCACCCCGATATTGGAATCCATCTGGATAGACAGTGTGAAATACATTGCGTGTTTCGAGCTGGGAGCGACTTGTGCCAGAGGGTTTATGTGGATGGGATTGACTAACCTTGAATCCACAGCCCAGAGCCAAGTCGATTTACGAGAAATTCAGAGGCTAAAACCAGACGCGTCAAAGAGCCGGATCCCCAAATGCTAAGGACCATTGCGCCTCGCACTTGCACTTGTAAGCAATTTATCAAGAAGCAAGCTGCTACTGCATACCCCTCGATTCAGAAGAACACCCGGAATCGCTTCCCCCAAGTTCTGCTGTGATTCAATGTTGGCGGTCCATGTCGAGTATTCACAACGAATCCTGGGTCCGGGACAGCCGAATCCTTCGTGAATACTTGAACGTCAGCGCAAACTATGCAATGCGCGGCAGCGGCGGACGCGCGCACCGAGCATCCTGTGTAAAAGTATGACACGGGGACCTGGAAGGCAGCATCTGGTGCAAATAACAGGACATGCGGAGCAGCTGCTTTTTGATTCCCAAAATGAGGCATAATAGAGTCTTTGATGCTGTCTACTGTTCTTGGTCTCTAAGGGCATAACTTCTTTTGATCCATTTTTGATCCGGCATCCGAGCTGGACAGTGCTCAATCGCATGTCATGTTACGCCCCGGAAAGGATCTGCTGAATCCGGGAATGGGCCGCATGAACGGCTTCAAGTCTTCAGAGGCCCTGTCTGTTTCTTTGCCTTCTGGGAATGCGAAACATGCGAAGCAAGAGAAGGATGGTGGAAGGCCGGAAAGCCCAAGCTACTGTTTGCTTGGGAGGTGACGAGCTTCGCGAATTTGGTGGAGGACCTCCTCCAGCCAGGTCTGGACAACACCGTGCCGCTCCTACTCTCGCAAGCTCCGGGCCCCTTCTCACAGCGTTTTTTTTTTTTACGCCCAGGAATTGGTCCAGCTCATCAAAAGAAAGTTCCCGGAGCTGCGCGATGAGAGCGGCATCTACGCTCTTCTGCACTTAGAGGTGTGTTGATGGCAAGGGGCCCGGGTTGTGGCTCTGCTTGGCTCTGCAGCTGCAGAGCAGGATGAGATCGAGAGGGCCGTGCTGTCCGTGCTCAGCGTCATTTGGCTTCTGAAGGACCACCCCTGAGCGTCCTCTGGAGCCGCCTAGGCCAAGGGCATGGGACTTGTTGGAGTCCAAGCGGCCCTGACGAGGACGACTACAAGTCTATGGTGGATTGCCAGAAGCCACAGGCTCGCCTCTCCGAGAAGACCTTTGGATCCATCCAGGACCCAAAAAGCAAAGCGAGCTCGCGGCAAGTCTTGCAGATGGGCCAGCCGCCCTAAACGCTAAACTTCCGAATCTCCTCCGAAAATCGCCGTAACGAGGATTTTCTGGGCGCCAAGCGCATGACCAGCCATCAGCTCACGGCGGCCTTCATCATCCTCGCCCTCCGCCGAGGGCTCGGAGCAGTAAGGAGAGGACGTTTCGGTGTTCTTGGGCGGTTTTTGTTGGAGCGTTTTTGTTGTTGAGGGGTGCTTTGGCTTGGGTTTTTGGGAGGTTTCTTTTTGTCATGGAGCGGGGTGTTCAGGTCTGGGCGATTCTGGGGGCGCCTCGCCGAGGCGGCCTCAGCAAGAGCGAGGACTTTGCCAAGCTCTGCCCGCCCTCGGAGCGCCGGACCCCCGAGCAGGCCTAGAAAGGGGGATGCCAAGAAGGAGCTGCCTTCTCTGTCACCAGAAAAACGGCATACTGCAGACCGTTGCCGGTGAAAGCAGGGAAGGGAGGGAGGGAGGGAGGGAGGGAGGGAGGGAGGGAGGGAGGGAACGCAGTATGGCACAACCACAACCTCCATACTACAAACTGGGCCCTGTGGCACAACAAGCCAACAAGCGCGAGAAGTCGCAGCATGTTCTCAAGTTGCAGTTGTAGTAAGTGTAGTAAGTAGGCAGAACTCACCTACGAAGGCATCTCGTGGCTGCTTCCCAAAAGCACAGTGAGTGGCTCCCAAAACGGGGCGAGTCAACATGAAAAACGACTGCAGCAAGAGAAGTAGTGCAAGAAACACCAACCAGTAACCCAATGGTAAACCAGTTTTTGTGTTGTGACCAAGTCTTTTTTGTGTGGACGGATTGGGGGTTTCGTCCTGGGTACTCCGATGGCCGTTTCAGGTGCTGAGCTATGCGATCAGCAACTTGGATGCCTACCTGCCCTCCATGGCCTGCCTCCGCGGAGAAGCATACGACTTCGTGGTCAGCACGGCTGCTCAATTCATATCAGAGATCAAACGTAGAGGGAAGGGACGGCTGAAGATGCAGCAAAGGTTCGGATGCTCGACCAGTTCAACTTTGCGCAGCTGCTTCAGGCGTGTCGTAGCCCGTCACGGCTTGCATCCTTTTCTTTCGTCGAGCTTTTCAGGGCGAGAACAATCCACATTCGGTGTGGCAGCTTCAATGCAGCCTTCAAGAAGAGGGAGTCGAAGTGTTCCAGAATCTTGTCTGCAAGCGTGACTGGGTTCTTGGAAGTCACAACAAGAGAGATGCTCGCCTGAAGGATCTATTTGTTCGTCCAAGTCAGCATCCTGTGTGGAGTCTCTTGGCTTTTGTGAGGGGTAGGTCGGAGAGATCACGGCATCAACGGATCCGATGTCCTCGCGAAGTCACCCATTGTCATGCCGGCAGGTCACCGGTGCCATCACTCTTCGTGGTTCCATGTTCCTCAGCGAGCTCAACGGGCGCTCTGTTCTCAAGGGCCTGGCTTGCTTGCAGCATGTTTCAGCTGCTTGGCGAAAGCTAGCAGCAAAGCATGTCTGTTCGAGAGCTCGAGTAGCGGACCTGGTGGCGAGTTTCTTGTCGATCCCGGGGCCCAGGAAGAGCAGCCGCAAGCCGTCTATTGGCGGCCCCTTTGCCTGCTTAGCAGAGGGAGAAGAGGGAGAGCAGGGGAAAGAAGAGCGGCTCCGGCTCCTTCCTTTCTCACCACAGTTTTGAGACCTGAATAGGACACAGCCCTTTCTCCTCCCTTCCTTTTTGGGCTCTGAGGTACATCGCGAGCCGTGCGGAGGCGCTGCAGCTGGTGGTGCAGATTCCGAGCCACCTCGTGCTCGCCCGCCTCGCCTGTCTCACGCGCCCCTCGGCGGTTGCAGGGGGGGGGGGGCCTCCTCGGCCCTTGTTGGGGGCTTGAGTTCTGAGCGTCTCTGCCCAAGGAACGGTGGAACCGAAAGCCCTGCAGTCCTTGGCGGCGGACTGGGATGGGTTGACGGAGCTGGAGCAGGAGCGGACACATGGCGCTGCGCCCCCCACCCCGAAGGACCCGAGAGCTCCCCTCTGTCCCAGGACGCGCTCTACCAGGTCTTCTTGACAGACGGCCTCTATCAGAAGGTGGCCAACCCGAGGGGAGGGAAGAGTGCAAAAAGAGCTCGGGACGCTGCAGGCATTCATCTTCCTCTACCTTCCTCTGTTTCTTACCAATGCAGTGGCCAATCAAGACCTGGGCCTTCGACCCCTGGCTGTGCTACCATAGCTCTTTCACTTTGCCCATACCTTTGTGGAGCGTGCAACCAGTGCAATCAATTCAAAAACTTGTTCCACCCAGGACGAGGATTGCAGTTCCTTGTCGAGCTCTACACCAAGCTTGTGAATCATCGCTGCCTGAACCAAGAGGCCTTTACCGTCAAGGTCGACATATCCTCACTCGCAGCCCTTGCGAAAGAGATAGATGATGTGCGATTGTTGAGTGGCCTTGCTGCATGGTGTGCACATGGCACAGGGTTCTGTTGTGCAGCTCCTCTTCTCGTCCTTCTCGTCTCACCGCGCTGTCGCTGAGGGAAATGCCTCGATTACGCTCGCATCGTGAAGCACGCCCACGGAGTGACCGTGCTCCTTACTGCCGAGAGCTACCAGATCCTCTCAGGCACGGAATTCCTACGAAGGTCGAAAAACAACAAGGGGCCCGCTTCGTCTAGCTCCGTGTCTCCCGGAGGCCAGCTTGTAGCAGAAGACCGCAGCGCCGAACTTCTGGAGCGTCTCTCCGCCCAACAGCTTCCTGGCGCCATCAGAGGATCCTCTAAAGCAGTTGTGTTGGGTTCTGTGACGCCTTCCAGGAGCCTTTTTCGGTTCAGCCGAGGCGCATGCTGGCAGAGGCCCTCATGCCCGTTGCAAAGGAGCCTGCCCTGACCTTGCGAGAGAAGAGCCGCGTCGCCGGGCCCTTGGCTTTGGCTTCACTTCAAAGGCTGTCTGTAAGTTCTGATCGCGATGCAAGGAAGAGGTGGTGACGGACTCGTTTTAAATGAGTTACCTTTTCACAGCCACTCAGCTAAGAGCTTGAGCTGTTATCTCTGCATGGAACCTCCCGAAGGGAGCGGCTCCTGTCAGAGTCTTCCAAGGGGACGGGAACGAACTCGTTCGTATGCTCGCTGTCGAGGTTCCCCTTCCCTGTAGCTTCGGAGAACCCCGATTCCAGGTCAACCCCGACTGAAAGAGAAAAAGACTTCCCAGCAGAGCTTGAGAGAGAGAGGGAGGAAGCTCGGTGCTAGGTGCTAGGTACCGCTACTTCATGGCAGCGCGACCTACAGCCTGCAGCTTGCCTTCACCCTGCAGCCGGTTGTGGCTCACTCGGAGAGAGCCGTTTCTTGGGCGTTGCCGTGGCCGCCGTGGCCTCGGCGAAGCTCCGAGGTCTTCTCTGAAATCTCCTTTTTTTAGGTGAAAGATGGCGATGGCGCGGCTCCGGAGGTTTGGAGCTGGGATCACCAGCAAACAGGGGGCCAAGGGGCCAAGGGAAAAGTTTCGTGTTTCGTCGCCTGGAAGGCTCTTTGGGAAGGGCGGTCTCCCCGTGGTGGAGCAGGCGGAGAAGCTCATCCAGAGCAACCCGCCGCATCTTTGGCACTCATCCGAAGCGTTTCTGACTGACTGGTCTTCTCTTCTCCCTCCCGCTCCCGGGCGGCGACGGCGAGGTGCGTGGTCTTCTCGAAGAGCACTTGCCCTTTCTGCGACATGGCCAAGAGCGCAGGGCGGCCAAGTTAACAGGATTGGGGCCGAAGAGCTTCGTCGTGAGACTGTGGGTTTGGCATGGAGAGCCATGTTGCGCTCGCCTAGAAGGGCCTTAAAGCCCGTTCTCGCAGTAGGACCAAAAGACCCGGAAGGGTCAGGCGGGTCAGGGAGCCTCGCAGCTCCTCTGCCAGGTTCTGCTCAGCGACTTGAAGGCAAAGTGCCACGTGATGGAGTCAGGCTTCTCAGACTGTCTCCAGTACTTCATGCACTCAAACTGAACTGTCTCTTCAAAGAGTCGCTCGAAGAATGATACTTTCCATGCCAAGGTTGGACAAGGAACTGAAGCCAGATGAGATGTCTGCGCTGCAGGAGCACCGCATGGGTGTCTTGTGATATCCACAGAGGAGCTTGAAACTTCAGGAGGGGAGATTCACCTGCGCCTGCGCGACCATTAGCCAAGTTTGAACTATACTCGATTCACCGGACTATGAAACTGAAAGATTTCTGTCGACGATTGCATGAACACCGGTTCTGAGTACGGCGCTGGAGGAGGACAACCTTCCTGGGGTTCTGGGCCATGTTGCTCAGGCCCGGGCTAAGCAAATGACTCTTTCCTGACCAGGGACTCAGAACCGAAGCGGGTTTGACCACCCTCCTCTCACAGTGGTGGCTCCAATGTCAGCTGCGGCCCATAACAACTGACTTACTGCAGGAATAGCGCGAGAAGCACAAGCATGGACAAGCAATGACAAAGGAACCTGCTTTCCAAAGGCGTACGCACTATGCAAGAAGAGCTTCCTGTATTTTCAAATTCCTAATCGCAAGTCGGACTGCTGTGCGTCCCGGGGCTGCGTGGATCCAGAGCCTCCATGGCCTCAAGAACCGCTAGCTGGCCTTTGCTCGGTCCCACAGGAACTCGTTGAAGTAGGAAGGGGGGAATCGAAACTGGGACGTTGAACAGCCCGCGACTCAAGCAGGCATCTGTCCATGGTCGATATTGATCTGAGATGTAAGGCGCTGTGCCGGATTCGGAGCATGCCTTTTCAAAAAGACATTGAACTGGTGCCTTCCGTGAAGAATTAACAGCGATGCCATTCTCCAGTCCTGGAATCTGTGCGATTGCCCACTCGAACATTCATTTCACATAGTTCATTACTATAAGGAGTCAGCCGACAGAAGTCTCTGTTGCAGAATATTTCTTGTGGGGAGAGGCAGGCCGATGATATTTTTTGTACGCATCAGCATTTAGTTGTAAACCGGAAGCATTGCCTGGAGACCCATCCGTGTCAAACCAGCGGTGCTTGTGTTGTCGTGCTGCCATCGAAGCAAAAGGTGTATTACTTGATGACCGCAGTTGGTTGAGAAACCTCCACTTTGGCAGCGCAACGCTCGAGTTGATGATGCGGGGGTCATGTTTCCGTTTTCTTGATCATTGCGAGGTTGTTGAGCGCACATGGATGTTTGCCATACATTCTGCATGGCCAAGAAGCTTTGGAAGCAGAATTTCGGCATTCGTATTCGTATCAACCGGTGCAGATGCTGGCGGGTGCGTCGAGAAAACATGGAATGATGGATCAAGACCTTTTTGGTGATCCGTTTGCTCAAACACGGAGACAGGACCACTTCTTGCAGACTACCGGGGCACGCTCTGTGAGAATCCCAGCCGATCGTCCGTGTCAAGCACCTGCTGTTTGCTGATGTTTGCCGAAAGAAGGTGCCGCGGGTCTTCATCAGCGCCGAGTGTGTAGGCCGGCTCCAACCGATAGATGACACGAGAAGCCATAAGGGAAGGGCGAGCAGAGAGAGACAGAGAGGGTCAAACCCCTACACCCTAGCCCTGGCGAAAGAAAAGAGAGATAGAGATACTAATCGATTTTTCCCTTCGTTGTCCTGTTTCCGTCCGAGTAGAACTTATCACAGTGGCCGAGGGACTTGACCCGTCCCTATACCCGGGGGAAGAAGAAGAGATAGAGATAGAGATGGAGCGAGCAAAAGTGTCATAGAAGAGGAGAGACGGCGGTGTAAACAAACCGAGAGAGCCGATCCAAGCGAAATTCGCTAAGAGCTTCAACAGAGGCCGTGGCTCTGCACCAGGGGGCTCCTGCCTTAAGAAAGAGGAGGGGCAGGGCAGCGCCAGCTGCAGGTGGCGGCTCGGAAGTGGCGGCCCTGCACGGCAAGCCTGAGCCTCGGCGCCTGTTCTGTGGGCTCCTTATGGCCTAATGGGGCCTTATGCCGGCTGTGCTCCCTCTCTCCCTCTCCCTCTCGCTCTCGCTCTCTCCCTTTTTGTGACGCTCTTGTTTTTGCGAGGGGGGAGCTGAAGCCCATGCTGGAGAAGGCTGGGTCTAGCTCGCGTCGGTGCAAATGGGCAAAAGTGACATCTGCTGACATTGCTTTGGAAGTGCAAGGCTGGAGCTATCGAATGAGGCTCCGATCTGTACAGCGAGGCTCGGCGTAAGCCGATGCCGATGACGACAAGAGCAAGAGTCGCAAGATGTCGCAAGAGCCCTTCAGCTTGCGCGGAGCTGTTTTCCGAAGGGCATTGCGAGGAGTCCGTTGGCCCGAAAGCCTGGCGCATGCCGTCCCAGCGAAGTCGGTGCAAACGGGCTGTTTTGTAGGGATTTAGTGACAGTGACTACGAGAGCATGATTGGGGCACGTGTCGGCTCCCTGCCTGGCAGCTGTTTGGCTTAGAAGCGTCGTGGCCATGCGGGTGCTGCGTGCCGAGGCCGCGGAGAAGACTGGGGAGAGAGAGGACGTGGCTCTGTGGATGCCGCTTCTCTGGTTGCTGTGCCAGGATTGGCCCGAGTCTGAAATGGGAGATGCCACGGGCTCGACGCAAGGAGCGGTGGAGGGATGGTGGAGCTTTGGGGCCGAAAGCCGCAAGCCCAGCCCCGGCGCAGGCCGTGGAGGCCCAGACCGAGAGAGAGACGGAAGAGACCGCGGGCCCGGCTCCGAGCGGCCAGGAGCCTCGGCCAGTTTGCGCAGCCGCGAAAGCCGTACTTCCGAGGCCTTAACAAGGAGCTCCCGGAGGTTCCCGCGGGCTGGAGCCGCTACTTCGACCCCAGGCCGGGAAGTGGTCGAAGCGAAAGCGGAGGAGGAGATGGTCTCCTTTGGTCTCCTTTCATCTCAATTTCATCTCCTTTGGAGGCATGGGACCTATCTTTACCACGAGGCGATGCTGAAAGTTGTTGGGGGAATTTGACGTCCGTGAAGCTCTGCGAGGCGACGGGGGACTGGCACCTGGAAGCGCCGGAAGCCGAAAAGGAGCGACGGGCTCCAGCCGGAGGCGGCCTCTGCGACCGCAGCTGGCCCTTGCAGGTTTTGGAGTCACGAAGTGAGGGGCGAGTGGAGCCGGCCGAGTCCTGGCCATGGGCCGAGAACTGCGGCCGCCGCGGCTTCCTAGCCATGCGCCGCCGCCTCTCTCGAGGCCAGAGCTGGGAGCTTCGGAAGTCAAAGAACTTCACGGAGGCCTGGCCCGCAGGCGCCACGGCCTCTTTCTCTTTCTCTGGGGTCTACGTGCAGGAGGGGCCAAAAAAGGGCCCGCAGCCATCAAGGACCGTCTTTTTCTAGCTGCTCTAGCTCAGCGGCTCTCGAGTGCAGTTCTGCAGTTTTGCAGGAAGCGGCGAAACAGGCCGCAAGGTTCGGAGGGCCCGCGGGTGGAGATGTGTGGAGGTGACTCGGCGTTGCAGGCCTCCAGCTTCGAAGCGGCCTCCGGTGCCTCCAATTCCCTCGGAAGGGACAGGACCCTCCGAGCCCTCAGCGCCCAGCGGCGAGCCCGCCGGACAGTTGCCGGCCGGAGAGGTGCCCTGCACTTTCCCATGCAGGGGTTTCGCGCCTCAATTGCCGCTCGCCGCACCTGCCCGCTGCCCGCGACTGCAGAAGAGCAGAGAAGCTGACGAGGAATGCAAGAGGAACATCCATTTGAGCTGGGCCTCGGTATATAGTGCTGGTAACCAATAGCAGTAGCAATGAACTTTGCAAGCAGCTCAAGGAGGTGGGTGGAAGTTGAGGGAAGCAGCAACCCTCACAGACGTTGCAGCATGTTGCATATGTACGACCACAAGCCGGGCATCCGAGCTGATGGGCGCTGCCTGCTCCACAGAATGGGGCGAGGAAAAGGCACTCGCGGAGGAGCAGCCAGGCATGCCAGGCTACCGGGGCACGGGGCCCAGAGGGCCGCGCGCGCGCGCGCGCCCGCCCGGCGCTCCGCGGTTGGCTCCGAGGTTCCAAGGCTTTGGCGGCCCGGAAGGCCAAGGCCCACCTGACCGTGAGGCCTGGCAACCCAGGGCAACCAGGGACTGTCCGCTTGAGATCTGCGGAGGCACTGGCACGACAAGATGATGATGTCCGCTGCATCCCAGGCAAAGGCAGCTGTATGGGGTTTGTCTGAACTTGGTCGGGTCGTAGAGGCGGTCTTCGAGGGAGCGCAGCGCGGGGATGCCAAGAAGGTCACTGAGGCGCGCTGCGGCGGAGCGGAAGAGAGGCAGAGCGCGGGGCTGCGCCAGAAAACCGGCGTGTCCGAGCCGAGGCCTTGAACGCCCACGGCGATCCCAACTGCATCAACTTCGGTGGGTTCAATGCTCCGCGGACTGAAGGCTTCAGAGGCGAGATTGGAAGTGCCAGAGCCTTGCAGAGGCCCTGATGCTCGCAGTGGGCGGCGGCTACATGGAGGTGCGCCGGCACCCACGCGTCTACTCCGCATCTGCTGACAGTCACGAGCCTGAGAGGTCATCGCGCTGCTGCTTCAGGCCAGGGCGCACGAGCACGCAGGATCCGTCTCAGAGGCCCGGCGGCCTGGGATGCTCCTGAGGCAAGTGCCAACCCAAACAACGGGAAGAGCGGCCTGACGCCGCTGATGATCGCTGCATCCTCCGGGCAATTGGAGGCGAAGCCGGGAGAGCAACCATCGCAGACTGTATGTGCTTTCGCAGAGCTTTTGCTTCGAGGTGGCCCGGATGCTGGTGAACTGTGGGGCGGCCGCCACGGGCCATTGCGAGCTGGACGGCAGGCGGGCACCGCGGCTGAAGAGACGGGTCATGCGCGCATGTTGCATGGGGGGAGACGCAGTGCAGAGCGCAAAAGGGACCTCCGTCCGCTTTTGCGACGAGGACCGCGCTCCACGGCGCGGCTCGGCGCGGCCACTCGGAGGTCGCCAAGCTGCTGGTGCAGGCGTGGGACGCCCGCCGACGGGCAGTGCCCGCAGTGCCGTCCTCAGCTCGCATGCGAGCGGCTAACGCTTGTGCAGGCCGGAGCCTCCGTGGACATCGGAGATTGGCAGGCTTGGTTGGGCTTGTGGCATCTAAGCCGGTTAAGCTAACAAGACCATGTTGTAGGGGCTATGCTTTGCAGTGATCAGGAGTGTACAGCCCTTATGCTGGCCGCACAAGAGGCGTTGGTTGAGTGTGCTTTTCCTCCTGCCTCTCGTCCTTGCTTCCTATCTTGGCATAGGGTCATGGCGACGTGCTCAAAGCGTGGGGCCCAGCAGTGTGGCTTGGCAGGCTTGCCTCTGCGAGTTTTCTGGCTTTGGGCCGATTTTGGCAGTGCGGTTGTCCAGGTGTTGCTTTGTGCCGGAGCGTTCTGCCCTGAGCGGAAGTTGCCGTGAAGTAGCAATCCGTGTCACAGAAGAGGGACTCCGTGCATTAGCTTTCTTAGGTCTGTCTCCTTGTCGAACAAGAGCGGTGCGGGGCAACTAGCCGTGGCGAGTCTGCTTTGACAGCTGGAGTCCTGGAGGTGACTCGGCGCTGAGCGCTTGCGTCAAGAGTGGCCACGAGGCCAGACTTGGCGGTAGTGACCTCCCGAGTCGAATGGAGAAACGTTGGCATGATGCCTTCCATGCTCGCACAAGATGCAGCAAGCCTCGTCTGCAGAAAGCTTGCAGAGTTGTGAGCGAAAGCGTAAACGTGTTTGTATGTGTTACGTGTTAGTGAAGGGTACATGCGAGATCGTGCATGCCGTGTTTCGTCAGAAACCCGCCCCGACGAAGAGGCTCCTTTGACTGGGCACTGTTTGCATCTCAGGCGTGCCTGGAGACCATGTTGCGAGCGGGTGCTCCCGTCAATGCGGCCAACAAATCCACAGGCTCAGATCAGAAAGCGACGGCTAGGCCAGAGAGACCTTGCCTTTGGCCGCAGGCAACTCGGCGCTGGCGGAAGCTTCCAGAGTTGGAAGTGAGGCGAAGGGAGGATTTTTTGGGATGCAAAAAGTTGCGAAGGCCTCGCATCGACTTGGCCGAGGCGATGGTCCGGAAGCTCTTGCAGTACCAAGCAAACGTGAACTTCGCCAATCTTCGGCCGAGCATCTCAGCTGCCAGCTGCCAGCTCCACTGCACCTCGCTTCTCTTTGTGAGGAAGGAGACGCCGCTGATGTTGGCTGCGGCGGCTGGTCACGAACAGGCGCTGGGGCGCCCGCCCCAGGCATCGCAGGCGTAAGAGTTGAAGCTCTTGAAGGTGGTCCGCATGCTCCTCGTCTCCGGTGCCAACACTGCTGCAGAGGCCGGTGAGGGATGAACTGTTGGGAAAGCCGCTCTGCGGCGCGCACCTCTTGGGTATGATGATGTTGGTGGTGTTAGTTGACTCTTCAGGGGCCTCGGGATGCAATGCAGCTGCAGGCAAATCCTGTCATGGCATGCTCAGTAAGTCCTCGTTTGGGTTCGAGGAGCAGGCTGCCCTAGCGGTGGCCCTAAACAGATGTCCAGCATGAGCTTCCCTCTGCGGCTCTGCTCCTGGGCCTAGGCTTGATTCCCTCTTGTATCTATAGTCTCTAGTCTTGAAGGAGTCTTGAGCTGAGCCAGATGATGGCGGTCCGCGTCTTTATGAAGCCAAGTCGACAAGTTGAGCTGAGCATGACAGTTGGCCCAGCCCTCTTCCTCTCCCTAGCAGTGCTCTGTTCGTAATACATGCTTTGTCACGTCAAGACTTGGCTCGTCCCTTTCTTTGAGTACTGGGCAGGATTTGCTCTCTTGATCTCACACTCAGAGGATGCAGCAAGAAGGCATCTTCGAACTCCCAACTCTTAGAGTGTGCCTCCTCGAAGGCCAGAAAGGATCGCGTGTAGTTCCCAGTGTTCCTGCTTCTCTTTGTTTCTCCGGGCTTTGACGGGCGCTACGGGCGTGTGCAATGAGATCATGGCTCTGAATGTCGGAAACGGTGAGATCTGCGGCCAGGATGTGAACGGCCATACGCCGATCATGCATGCCGGGGCCAGAGCTGGAGCAGCTTCCGGCACTCCTCGGCTCGGAACCAAGGCAACTGCACAGAGAGATCGTGCGTTACCAACCAAGGCAGCCGTGAGCAACGTGGCGGTGGCTGCACCGACGTTTTTCTGCGACAGGCAGGGTAGGGACTCCTGGGTTGTGCGCTGCATATGTGCCAGGTTCAGGCACTACTGGATTTCGGTGGCAATCCCTCCGTGGTGAGTCAGGAGTGGCCGTTCGCAATCCTGTTCTTCCTGTGGGCGTTTAGATTGCATCTGGTAGAGGTGGACTGCAACACGCCCTCCACACTCGCAGCGATGCACGGGCGGAAGCAGGTGGCATTGAACCAGCTGCAGCCTCAAAAAGCTTGATTGCCTGCCCTGCTGCCAGTGCTACGATCTCCTGGTCTGGGCCGGGGCCTTCGTACCGGCGCTGGAGGAGAGTCGCTTGTTGAGGGCTGCTGCCCGGGATAAACTCGATCTGTCAGTCGCTTGTTCCTTCTTTATGGATTCGGATCTGCCGACTCTTCAGCAGGAAAATGGCTAGCAGCTGACTTGGTGAGCTGTGATAATGCACCACCCAGCTGGGGCAATCACAAAGACTTGATTGTCGCGTGCTGGCGCGAGCTGTGCAGCATTTCTGCATATCGCTGTAGCTCCTTGGAGAGAATTCGCACACGGCTCCAGAAAACTGAGGAGCGGTGACGTTAACGAAGCTCGTTTCGAAGCCCGAAAAGCTGATGCCTGTCCTCAGAAGAAATCTGCCATGTCGGAAAGGGGGGGGGAGGGGGCGTTGCAGACTGGACTCCGCCTGTCGAGTGTTGCTCGCGCTCCCTTGGAGGAAGAGGCGGCTTCCGAGCCCAGCACTGGAACCGCGGGCGGCTCCGTTTCCGGCGATGCGGGAACCGCGCGGCCGAAGGCAGAGGTCTCCTAATTAGGGTTTAGGGTTTAGGGTTTAGGGTTTAGGGTTTTAAAGCTTTTCGCTGTGTGACGGGCAGCAATGCTCAGCAATGTGGTGTCTTCGGAGGTCGTCTCCGAGCTGGCGAAGCTGGATCCTATTGTCCGTGACTTTGCGCATGCCCGAGTTTCCTTGCTGGCCTTGGCTTGGGGGCCTTGCTGCGCAAAGAGTGTGCGCCGAGGTCAAGGATGAGTTCAGGCGCGGGCGTCGTCGCGTAGCCATGCAGCGTAGCCCAACGCCACTTTCTGCCGCAGCGTTGTACAGAGGCTCAAGAAGAAGCTTCGTGAGATCGAGGCTCGCGAGATGCGGGGAGGGCCGTGGGGCGGGCGGGCCCGGGCCCGCGGCGGGAGGCTCTCGAGGCTGCCGGCGCGTCGGGGAAGAGCCTCGAAGCCGCCCAGGCCCGCACCGGGTCCGGAGAACGGGATTGCTTCGGCTCGGCAAAAGCTCGCGGAAAGACGCTTGGGGGGGCGGCGCGACGGCTTCGAAGGGCCGGGTTGGGCTCTCGAGCTCCGCGCCTTTCGCAGGTGGCCAAGGTGTCCAAGAAAGGTTCTGGACTCGGCCTTATCGGGCGGCGTAGTCTTCGAAAGCCCTCGCCTGTCCTTTATGGAGGACAAGTCCTCTCCGACCTTCGCCTGGTGGACCAGCACATCTCGGAGGCTCGTGGGTTCTGTGGCAGAGTGCCCATGCTCCTGCGCTGCCTCCAGGCCCTGGCTGACTTCCAAAAGCGCCACCCGACGCCGGGAGCACAAGCAGAAACAGGGTAGACTGAAACCTTTTGCCAAGCAGGCGCAGCAAACTTCGAACTTTGCAGCTCAAGCCCTGAACTGAGGCCTTTGGCACCCAAAAGCTCCGAGCAGCAAGCGGCGCCAGGCGCCTGCTCACCTGACTTGAGCGCTAGAAGATCGAGGTGCTAGCTGCCAGGGCGCTAGGCTATGGACGGCGCCCCAAAGCTTTCTGTTTGTGAGGGAGGGAAGGGCGCTTCGCAGTACGCAGAGCGTCGTGCGCGCGCGCGTCTCTCAGCCGTCACAGGTGCACGTAGCTCCGGCAGCTCGAAGGTGTGGCCGTGCTTGTCATTCAGATCTGACCATGAGAATTCGAAGCTGAAGAGTTCTGTCTTGATGACGATGCTAGCATGACACCATCGACGCTGAGTTGACCATGGCAGCCGATGATGGCGATGATGACGAGGATGATGATGATGATGATGATGATGATGATGATGACGAGGATGATGATGATGATGATGATGATGACAAGGATGATGACTGTGATGATGACGACGACGACGGCCACCCTGACTATGAAGATGCAAAGCCAATTTGCTATCGTCTTCGAGGTGAGCATCGCCATCGTCGTGGTGGTCGTCGTCATCGTGGTGGTTTTTGTTGTGCTTGCGGTTGCGCTGGCGGTGGTTTGGCTGCGGTGGATGTGGTTGCGGTTGTTGGTTGTTGGTTGATGGATGTTGATGGTTGCGGTGGGGTTGTGGATGTGGTTATGGTGGTTGTTGTTGTTGTTCTGCTGCTGCTGCTGCTGCTGCTGCTGCTGCTGCAGACGAGGACGCAAGTTGCGCAGATGACGACGAGGAAAGTGGGATCAGGGGTGGAATGAGCTTGTGCCATCTCACACGCTGGTGCACTACAACATTGAGCCTTATACAGGCGTCTGAGACACCCTCCCCCTACACAGCTTCTTTGCCCTAAACCGAACAAACTTCAAATCACAAATACATCGCAAATCCTTCAAATCGAACAACCCGAAACTTAAAAAAGTTCCAATGCCATAGACGATTGTAAGCCATTTTTTTCCATTGTGCAAGGCGTTGCGTCAAACAGCTACGCCCATCAAACCCCACAAGCCCGAACCATTGTTGTGGCCTCCCAATCGCAGCTTTCCAAGCTTGATGTGCTTTTCAAAATCTTGTGTAGATCTTGTGTTGCTTATGAAGATATATGTGACTTGGCTAATTTTCTCTGCTTGCACCGATTGATGTGGTGCGAAGCATCCCAGCTTACTCGGCTTGCTGTGGCTAGGAAAAGTTCAGCTTACTCGGATTGATCTGGATTGGAAGCATTTGATCTCAGCTTGCTCAGTTTGCTGTGGCGTGGAAAATCCATGCCTCAACAATGTGAGACTTGCCAAGCCCCGGCATGCTGGGAGAGCCCAGACTTTCTAAGCCACACGAAGCTGAGCCGATCATTCAGGGACCCCAGGGATCTTATCGGTGTGATTGCTTGCTGCTTCCATCAGCCACCCCTAGAATCGGGCGAGACTTGCAAGGACGCGCGGGTCACCGGCAAAGCACACGGTGGCCGAGGCCCTTTCCAGGACATGATCGCGTACTCAAGATCGTTGGATTCAGTTGAGTGGCCTCTCATTACTTCGAGCCTCTGAATTCTTGAACGAATTCCGGGGCACCTCGAGCTGTAAAAAGACCAGCCCTGAAGCTTGTAGGAACACAAGGACGCTGGGGCTCCATTAGCTGTTAAGTCATGTTTAACACCGTGTCGCAGCTGGTCGGCATGCAAGGTGCCTCCACTATTGGTCGAGCTGGCTACACCGTCGTCGCCGACTCAGCCTGTGAAAGAGCACACATTCCTCTCACAGGCTACATCTCGCTCTCCGTTTCGAGGCTCGCGAGGACGAGTTCTGGTGAGCAGCCCATGGGCACCGCACCGCAGAGCCATGCGGAAACTCGCGCACAGCCCACCAAGCCATCTGGGAGCGAAATCCTGCGAAGTGCTTGGAATGTTGGCACATGTTGGGCCGTTGCTTGTCACGAGTCCACCCGTCCGTCTTCAACCATACAGTGTTGCCTCATTCCTGTGATCTACGCCGCAGTACTCTATGCTCTATAAGCGCTGACAAGAAATCCCTTAGCGTCAGCAATGCAGTTCAGGCTAACTTGCCAGAGAACCTTCATCCATGCTGAAGGCCTTGAGGATGAGGACGTGTCCACGTGCCAGAGACGAACACAGAGTGCACCACCAGAAGATCGAAGCACCGAACGAAGCACCTACGTGAGCGCCTTGGCCAGCCGCGCAGACCAGCTCCATTTCTGGCTCCGGAAGCGGGGAGAGAGACACACGAAGGAGGAGAAGGACGAGAAGGAGTCTCAGGCGGAGTCTGAGTCCGAGCAGAACAGCGGCGATGTGTCCACCCGGGCTGGAGACTCCAGCTCGAGCCGCACGTCCAACGCTTCCAAGAGCTTCTCTAGCCTCTTTTCGCACTCGCCTTCCGCCGCCTCGGAGTCGCAATCGGAGCCCGAGACCTTCCAAGCCGAGTTCTCCTTGGGAAGCCTCGGCCATCCGGAGGCCGGAGCACAGAACACCACTGTCAGCAGCTCTTTCTGCAGCTGCGCGTTAGTTGCGTTTTGCTCCATTTTTTTGGCCCTGCTGAGTCCTGAGGTGTGCCACAGGCCCTGCGTGAACTTCGCGAAGGGCTTCTGTGCGGCAGGCTCCTCTTGCGACTACTGCCACCTCTCTCACGTGGAGACGCCTTTGGTGACCGCGAACAAGGAACTTCGAGTCATCCTGCAGCAGGCGACGGAGTTCGACCTGCTCTCGATCGCGGTGAAGCACGCCTGGACCCGTGCAGCTGACAAGGGCTTCCTCGAGAAGGCCAAGGAGGCCAAGGTCTTGACATTGCTGGAGGAGAGACTCCAGGCTCTAGTTACTCTAGAGACCGACTCGACTTCGAGCCTCAGCCAGAAGCATCAAGGCAAGCTCGATCGCTTCATGGCCAAGATGCCCTTCTCAGGACTCATGGGCCTTGCACTACGTAAGTCCCAGGATGGCAGCCACACTGCCATGGTGAAAGCAGCAGTGGACAGCTTGCGAAGCAACCTGTCCCAGTAGTTACATAGTTAGGTTTTAAATTTCGGGTGCCCCCCCAAAGACGGACTTTTTCGAGGCACCTCGAATTGTTTTATCCTTCGACGAGAGAAACCACCGTCGATCCAGCGGCCCCTTTTTCGGCTCACGTACCTCTGGGTTTCTGCTCACCCCTGCAATTCCCTGAGGGGCGGGGCCAACTCTCGGGGATCCGCCTTTAGCGCCGCACCGGAGGCGAAGACCCATGCCGATGGTGTGTGCACTGGCGAAACCTCCCGCCGAACGGCGCTCTGTTCGCTGCGCAAAACGGTCTGTGCATGTGCGGAAGCCGCGGTAGCCGTGAGCGCCACCTTGTCGGCACCTGCCGCAGAGCAGTGCTTTGGATGTCTCGACTCCGCAGCCATTGCCCAATCGAGAGTTTGCAGCTGCGTTTCATCTTTGCTCTGCGATGATCGGAATCTTGGGGTCTAGGCGAGGCCCTGGTCAGGTCTCAGGGACGGGAGGGGCCGGAGCCTTTCGCGAGCAAGACAGCCGCCACACCTTTCTGCAGCGCTTCCAGGAAAGCCGGGAAGGGGCAGAGCCACCCACCTTCCTGGCGGTTGAGGACGCTTACGAGCGTGCTGATGCTTACTACGAGACGATGAAGCGAAACATCATGGCAGAAGCAGTGTCCTCCTTCCGGGTTGCAGGTCCGCGAGTGCTGGATGCAAGGCCAGCGCAGGAAGGCTTGCTGGTGACCAGGCTGATGAACGGCCAAGAGGGTGATCTGCAAGCTGGCGCAGCAGATCTTCAGCTGAAGGATAATGTGGTGGAGTTCGATGACGAGCTTTTCTGGGTGACGAAGTGCGAGGTGAGCTCTGCCCAGGTTCCTGGAGGAACGAAGTACACGGCTGAACTGGAAGGCTTCTCGGCTTCCGGTCGCGAGCTTCGTTATCCGGAACACCTGCGTTTCCACTCGGAGATCATCTTGAAGCTGCGAGCGCACATCTTTGCAGGAGACTACTTGAATCGTTACCGCTGCGCCCGTGAGCTCTTGAACGCCGGCTTGAACGGCACTGGGTTGACAGACCCTCAGCTGGAGAAGGCAGTTCTGAAGCCCTGGCGCCAGGTTCCCGGCACATATACTCGGCGTGGTGCACTTCGTGAAGACTTGATGCCCATTAACAGCGACCAGCGCTCGGCTGTTCAAGGCTTGTCATCACGTCTGGAAGTCATCCACGGCCCTCCAGGCACAGGCAAGAGCACAACCATCTTCCACATGCTCAGCTCGCGCTTGCCCTCGATGGATTCTGCGGCCATCGTAACTTGTGTCACCAACCAGGCGATCGACGCCGTCGTGGAGAAGTTGGCGCAAACGCACGACTCTGCTGGCGGCTTGCGCATATTGGTCCTTGGGAATCCAGATCGAGTTGGACGGACAGCTGGGCAGTACACCTTGGACAACTTGTGCAAGAAGGATGAGATAGTCCTCAGCATGCGCTGGGCCACAGAACTGCTATCAAAAGCTTCGAAGGCTGTGACCGAACTTCAGACTGCAAGGAGGGACCGACTGTGGAGGCCTCATCACAGGTCCCGGCTGCACTTGTCCCACATTGAGCGGCTTCCTTCCGTCCTTCGATATCGCGCAGAACTCGAGGCGGAGAACCGTCAGCGCCGATACAATCAAGAGGCCCCAAAGGTATACGACCCCTTAAACTTCTACCTGCGCCGCCTGGACGACATCAAGCGAAAGCTGGCAACGGCGGTCACTCAGCTGAGGCCAGTCAGATTCTTGCGATGGCGCCGCCGCCTTGTTCCGTCACCTTGCCGCTTCTACGAATGGAACGTGCACAGTTTCAACCTTCGCATTCAGAAGGCCTATGAACGCTCCAAAGAGGCTTTGAGCTTGGCCCAGAATACGGCAGCGGCGCGGAACGTCCGCAGGACGCGGGTCCTCTTGTGCACCATACCCTCGAGCTACAAGGCCGCTCCTAGCGTTGATGTGTTGTGGCTTTGTCCCAGCGCCAGTGCCACAGGTCATGCAGCTGCAGGAAGACTACAAGGCCCTGAATCTTGTATCCATCATGCTTGTTTTTTGAAGGCAGCCGCGAATTTTGTGACCTTGTTTCAAGGACGACTTCCCCAAGAGGCTTTTCATGGGCATACTGGATGAGGCTGCTGCAACTGCCGAGACCTACATTCCCTTGATCTTGCGATTGCAAGTTGAGAACCTGGTGCTCCTTATCTTTGTTAGTGATACTTGGCACCAGAAGCTGTGGCCTTGGTTTGGTTTCTTCTCTCTTTTCAGGTTGCTGGGCGATCACAAGCAGCTCAGTCCCTTGGTCTTGGCCTCGGGCGGGGACCGCGAGATCAAGGACAAGAGCCTCGGCAGCCGGCAGCAAAGAGATGCCCCAGGCTGCGACGCCCGCGTCGGGCGCGTGTTTGGGGGAGCCGCGGGTTCTGCCTGCATTCCGATGCCGAGGAACGTCGACCGCAGCTTAATGGAACGGGCCATTGACAACAATCTCCGTCCCCACCCGCTTCGAGTCCAATATCGCATGCCGGAAGTCCTTTGCAATCTGGTGTCAAGCCTCTTTTATGGCCGGTTCCCGAGTCGATTCGCGAGGGGAGCCAGACAGAGGCCCATGGCGCCCATGGCCCGCATGGCCCGCATGGCCCCCATGGCTCATGTGCGCGGCGCGGCTCAGCTCAGGTGGCTCACTTCGGACGGCTCAAGAGACGAGTGTTGCAGACCGGCTGAGTCGGCTCAGCCTCCAAGGGCAGCCCAGGCACGGCTCTGCTTGGCACAGAGCAGTGGTACAGAGAGCTCCTTGTGGTGTCCGGTGTGGTGAGATGATCGTTTCTGCGCAGAGGCAGCCCGAGCTGCGCTGGTTCAACGTCACCGTCCAGGAACTGGACGTCGGCACCTCGAAGGTGAACCACGCGGAGGTGGTCCAAGTGATTGAGCTGCTGCCCGGACACACTGTCAGCTCTTGCTGGGACTCGTGCAGACGCCGTAGACCCTTCAGAAGCCCAATGGTAGTTTGACTGAGGTTGAGATCTGATCCTGTCTTGGGCCGCACGCGCGACCCCGTGATGGTCATAACTCTCTACAAGCCGCAAGCGGCCCTGCTGCAGGAGGCGCTCGCGAAGTCTCTTGACCCCCATCGCATGGCCTTGATCAAGGCCAACCTGAGCTATGTCCCGCTCTGTCCCACTCCTGCGCAGCGCCAGAGGGAGAGTGCCGTGACGCAGTGCTGTGCTCGTGTCTCCTGTCTTCAGGTGGTCACCGTCGATGCTGCCCAGGGGTCCGAAGCTCCGCACATCGTCCTTTCCACGGTGCGGAGCAACTCCGCTCGGAGCATCGGCTTCGCTCACAACCCGCGACGCCTGAACGTGGCCATTAGCCGGGCCCAGAAGACCCTGAGCATTGTCGGGAATAAGGACGTCTTCAACACTTCCCAGCCGAACTGGAACCGCGTGGTCTCCACCTTCTGCCGGCAAGGCCAGGCCTCCGACGTCTCGGCCCACGCGCTCCAGCACGCACCTTCCTGGCACTTCGTACAGCAGCGGGCGCTGGAGATGATGGAGCGCAGCGCGAGCAAGGGCAAAGGGAAGGGCAAAGGGAAGGGCCACGGGGCCCAGGGCAAAGGCGGCAAAGGCGGCAAAGGCAAAGGTGAGTGGTTCACTGGAGTAGACATCCCACAGCCTGCTGAAGTGTCCCACTTGCCACAGCGGCGTATGATACAGGACAGTGGCTCCAGTGCAACATCAATGCAGTCACTTGCAGGCATGCACAACCTGGTGGCTGCTGCACACAACACAAAGGTATGGGTGAGCCGGCAGAGAGTTTTGTGATGCACCACGATACATGAGCAC